ATGCAATTATTCAAGTTGGGCAATGAAAATGTGTCAGCTGCAGTCATATATTTTAGTTGCTGTGTCATGCAGAGCGCTGCCAAAAGCTGTAAATTACACTTTGCAGGGTTGGCTTCATCTCTGCAGGGTTTACAAAACCTCCTGTGTTTCTAAAGGAGTGAGAAAATAGCAGGGCTTTGTATGAACAACACTACAATGATCAAGGACAGCTTCTATACTCTACCTTGCCCTCGTTACCGAGGGCCTCATCCTTTTTGCTCTTCTCCAGGTCTGATGAAGAGACACACTCAATGCTCTCCTCTGTAGTGGCTTCAAGGTCGGTCTCCTCTGACAATGCAAACCTCTTTGCTGCAAAGAGACCAGAAAAATTTAAGATTTTCATGCTGTTTTTACTTTACTACGAGTTCGTAACATATCTAGACATAGATAGATAGATAGACAGATAGCATCTACACATGACATTTACTAAGGTGTTTTATTGGCAGTGGGGACAAAACTCCTGCCAAAGCATGCCCATTTCTGTATCTTCGACCGGATGGCCGCAGTGTGAAGAATGGATTGAGGGGATGCCTGGGGTCATGTGCTGTGGTGTGCGTGTAGTGGCTGACAGGTTGGGGACACAAATAATTCTGGAGGCACTGTGTGTGATGCATATGAGTGTGTATGTTCCCATTGGAGGCAGTTAACGTGGTAAATAACCAGGTAGAACAATAGAGGAGAATGGGGTTGGATTACAGAGCAGAACAGCAACAGAAGGTGGGGGCCAACGGAAAGTGCTTTAAGTTTGCGGATGGCAGAGAGTCTTTGTTGGAAGCGTTTGTGAATGCCAGTGGTGTGTTGCTCAAAGCTCAGTTTATTGAGGCAGTGACAGCAGCAGCAGCAGGCAAAGAACTGGCAGAAACCCACACAAGGTCTTTGATCAATGGCTTGGACGACTCACCAAAACACAGCTGCAGCTGCAGCAGAGCAAGCTGCTGGAAAAAAGCTATGGTCGGTGGATAATGACATCTTTTCTCAGAGAGGTGTGCGCAGTTGTCACTGTTTGTTTCTGCAGACGCTCAGGGTTTTTGTTTGTGAGAGAGAGAAGGAAGCAAGAGGGAGAGAGAGGGTAGAGACCTGGGGAGGGTGTGAGTTGCTGTGTGAGGAGAAGAAAGGAGATTGAGTTTGTGTGTGTGACAGAAGGAGAACAGGAAGGAGAGACACAGACGGGAGGGAGAGCGGACCGGATTTGTGGATGCAATTTTCTGTGCGTGTGTGTGAGAGTGTGTGTAGGTGTGAGTCACCTGGCACTGCCGCCGACTCCTCCACCTTCCCCTCCTCATCCTCCTGGTCATCGCTTTTCTGCTGCAGGGTCAGCTGGTGACACACATCGAACGCCTGACCCACCGTTCGCACGATCCTCATGGCCTGAGACTGTAAAGGAGGACACAGAGGAACAGTGTGTGTGTGTGTGTGTTGGGGTTTTGAGAGCAGGGGTGGTGGGAAGCAGCAGCAGGTGCACAGTGAGGGAGGATGCAAAAATGAGGAGACACGGCAGGGGAGAAAATGAGGTGCCAAAGGGGTTGCACAGGAAGAAAAGTGGATAGACGAATGAGTGTGTGTGCATTTGTGCACAGGTCAAGAGAAAAAATACACACAATTGCAGCAGGAAGAAAATGGGAAAACGTTGGGGCAGAATGTGAGATGAAAAATGAAGACAGAGGAAAACAGGAGGGGACCAAATTAAAGTCAGAAAACATTATGAGCGCAGAGCTCCAGCTGCTCGTCCTTGTCTGTCTGCTCTACATAGATTCTGCTGTCATAGTGATGGATCTGTCTATTTTAGAGGCAAGTAATGTTGATGGCAGAGGGAGTGAAGATAAAGTCTGTTGTTATTGCAGGAGGCTCAGTAGGTGTGTCAGAATCATCAGGTCATCGATCAGGGACTGTTTAATTTGCAATTACTCGAAAATTAGCTACTTGATCCGAAAGTGAGGATGTATAGGTGTAGATCTAGATATATAGGTAACAGGATATCTGGTGCATATACAGCATGTACTGTACTTTTTCAAGTTTTAATGTAATCTGATTTGGATGCAAGGATTTAAGATATAACATGTTCCTGTGAGTCACATACAGTCCTGATATGCAATGTCATATGACAATAGTATCAATCAAAAATACACAATTGCAGCAGAAAGAAAGAAAGAAAGAAAGCAAAAAAAGTGTATATGTCAAACTATTCCTTTAAATTACACAAAAGCCAAGACCATCACAGATCCCACCCAAAATGTATTGGTTTTTGCTCACTTTATTTTATTGTTTGCCTTACTGTAAATCAAGGCAAAGACTTGTTTAACTTATTATGTTGTAGAGCTGAACCGATTAGTCAATTAACTAGAAATTAATCACCAAGTAATTTAACATTACCTAGTTACAACTTCTCTACTGTGAGTATTTGCTGCTTTTCTTTGTCTTATGTGATAGTACACTGAATATCTGAGATGGGTTTATATGGGTTTTGGGCTGTTGGTCAGACAAAATAGGTGATGTGAAGATGTAAAAATTAACAGAAAATAATCATTAGTTACTGTCCTAATGTATTTTAATTGTTCTATTGTCTATAAAAACCTTTTAAAAGGTCTACAAACATCAGGTTTAATATTGTTATATATACACATTTCTGTTCTGGCTTAAATGTGGGTATCAGTGTTTCTTAAGCTGAACACAAAGGAAAGAAAATTCAGTGTGGCCTTTGAGACACCGACACCTCTGTGATCAATTTCAAGGCTTCTTTTCTCCATAAAGCCCTAATACGCAGTCCAGTGGCAGCATCCTAAATCCACTGGAATTAAACTTCATCCACCATGTCCTTCTTCAATCTCATTAAAGGGGAGTTTTTTTGTGTTTTTTTATTGTGGTGGCAAAAAAAGAAAAGAAAAACAGCATGGAAAATAAAAGTATTGTCATCTGCCTCTGGAGGATCATCCTGCCTCAAGGCACTCAGTCAATATGTCAACCCTTCACAAGCTTGAAAGAATTTCAATCAAGTGAAAAAGCAAAAAATAAATAAATGCAGAAATAAAGTCATGAAATGGATTATTCTGTTCCAACAATACAAAATTTAATTTTGCTTTAAGAATTAAACTACCAGCCCTCCCAAGGCCAAACACAAAAGGCTCTGCTGATGTACTGAGCTGACATCTAAGCCCTGCTGGGCCGCAACATGCCGTGGTGAAAATAAATCAAATCTCCTCTTATCAGCTGGTCCATCTCCTCCTACTCAGAACACATGCTTGGTCTGCAATGCTCAGATAAGGCTCGGCAGCCCCGGGGAGGTAGTGGGGCACCACTGGCCGTGTCCCTGACAATGTGGTGGGTGTTTGTTCAGCAGTGGTGAAAATGTCTTTAATCGCTAAGTGAAAAAGCCCCTCTTCTTTTCTCTTCCCACCAGGATGATTAGTATTCAGCTTCACTAAGTCACTTTCTGTCTGGTATCCATGGTGAAGGGATGGGAGTCAACCTCTGATGCTTTGTCTTTGTCATAGAGGAAAAAAATGTCTCTGCTTGATATGCAGATATGTGGATAAGGACATGCCAATATTATAATTTTTTTTTTTTACCATTTTAGCATTTTAATCATAACACACGAGGGCTTCTGACACTCAGATTAATTGGCTACATGTGAGGTCCAACAGGACTATACATCAGTGAGATTAGAAGCTATGTCCAGAGCATGAAGCAGAAAAACAAAATGCAATGACTGACTTGCTGTGGTTCATAGCTGTTTGCTGTCAGCTTAAAGGATAAAGCTGGAGATATTCCGTACTTTCGTGTTTGTCAACAAAATTCATAATACTAAAACCAACAATGTATCTGCCTGTCTCCTAATACTTTGCAATTTCCCCTGCCTGTCCTCATTTCCACTGAAGACATACATTTTTAAAGGAATAATTTGTCATTTTGGGACAAAGCTTATAATTAGATAGAGTGTTAGAGAGTTAGATAAGAACATTGATACAACTCTCACGTCTCTACAGTATACATAAAGCTAGCACCTGGTAATCTTAGCTCAGAGAATGGAAACAGCTAGCCTGTCCATATCGTGACAAAATCCTCCTACAAGCACACATAAAGCTCAACTAATACATCATATCTTCTTTAATTAAAAACTGAAGTATAACCTAAAGGTGATGACCAGCCTCGAGGAAGTCACTGTGCCCATGCAAGAAATAAACCCCCCACCAATAAAACCACAATATTTTATTTTTACCTTTAGACAGACATCAGTCAGGCTAGCTGTTTCCCCATTTCCAGTCTTTATGCTAAGCTAAGATAAGCTAACTGGCTGCTGGCCGCAGCTTCAGACAGAGATTTGTATCGATCTTCTCATCTATCGCTCGGCAAGAAAGCAAATAAACTGTAAAAACTGTAAATAAAGTGTATCTCTGAAATTGAGGGCTTCTTTCAAATCTATTAAAAATCTGGCAACAAACATCTAGGCACTGTAGTTTTTTGAAAACACTAGATAGTGTCATCACTGGGGACTATTTTCAGCGGTGGATTTGGTGCTATAGTGAGTAGTGAGTCTGTATTGTTAAGGCATAGATGGGAAATAAACTACAGTATTTGTCCTAATGAAGAAAACCTGTGATTCAGTGAAGCAATGTGGCTCACTGATGTGTTAGTAATAGTTTTTGGACAAGAATGGAGCTCTATGACACAGAGGAATAAGAAAACTTGTTAATAGGATCATTATCACATAATTGGTCTGATCTGGATTTGTTGACAATATGAAAAATATATAATATCAGCAGATTTAACTTTTAAGCATTCTCAGTTTGTCTGGAATTAAACCTACTTTCCTCTTTGACTTGAACACATTGCAGCGGAAAATGTTGCTCTGTCCATCTCTCGCTATGTAACTGAAGATCTTCAAGTCTTGGGCATCATGTGAGACATAGAAGATCCTGTTAAAAGCAAAGACAATAAACAATATGTCACTAAGTTACAAGCTGCCTGGTTATTTGGCTTCGGCTGGGGTTTTTATTTTTAATTTAAAACCCTCAAGAGGGCCTACCTGTAGATGGGATCCTGTGTCACCAAGATGGTATTCTCATCCCATGACCACCCTTTTCTCTGTTACAACACAAAAACACAAGTTTGTGACGGTGACAAAGGTGTTTTTCAAAAGACAAAAGATTTAATTAAAATAAAATTCTTCAGGACTGACCTTCTTCTTTTTGCGCAAAATCACTTTGATAGAATCGGTGGATACGACAATGTTGACCTTCTTTTTCTTTATATTCTTCAGTTTGAATTCATACTGTGAAGGGAAAAATTATATTCAAATTAACATTCAAGGTTGGGCAAAAAGATATTTCAAACCAAACTGATTATTACGCTATGTGGTGTGCCTAGCATTAAATATGGCATGGGCCTGCTGAGATGGAGCTCTTTACACAGGATAAATGATATTGGAAAAGAGAGAAGGGATTGTGCACACAAGATATTTTTGACTATCTTCTTCTTAGGGGAAATCTGACTTTGAGTAAACACTGAGAAACTGTCAGTTTCTGTTCCTGGGAGCTGTTTAAGCTTTCAAAGGCAGACTTCCCAGAGGGAGGCAGACATGTGTGGGACACTTTCATCCCTCTCCATGATTAATGCTGGAGCCTGTAGCCTCTGCTTCCACTGCAGGCTCAGACTCCAAATATCAGGGCCCAGAGATCTAAGGACAACCAGAATGTATGTGAAATAATGTGCCACGCTTTGAAAACACACTCTAACATCTGATGATTAATTGATCAGATGAAGTTCTGTGAAGTCACCATTTCTCCTTCTTTGTCTTTAGTGAACGAACCGCCACCCGCTCTGCGTGACAGACTTGGATATTCTCTGTCATCTTTCCTTTGGTTTGTGTAAAAATACCAACCCAGCGCTGTCTTATATTTTCAACAGGACTGAAGCTGTCTTCTCACACTTCTTATATTGACATTTCAGAGTAAAAGAAATCTCAAAGAAAAGAAGAAAATGGATAATTGTTACCAGCATGGCACATCTTATTTGGTGATTGTAGCCCTAATGAATCTGGAGCAGTTTGTCTATATGTGACCTGTGAGAAGCACCTCATAGGAAGATTCAATAGGCCCTTACTCTGTGTCATACGCTCCCATCTAGTTCATCCATCTTGTTGCTGTGTGGGAGTTTTCCTCCACATGCAGTAGATGCTTAGGTGAAGGACACAACTCCCATAATGTATGTGTTATCCAGAAAACTGGGACAAGAGGACTCATCTTCTGCTGTTAGAGAGCGGCGAAGTATGGAACACACAGGAAGTGTTCACATTTTCATGCACATCAGCCTAAAACTAACTGAGACTAACACTGACCTCCAAGCACAACTAATGCTTTACAAGTTGTGACAGCTCACCTTGAGTCTTATCTCTAAGCCACTGTGAGTACCTTAAGTTATCTGTTGAATATTCAGAGTGAGTCTCCCCCAGAAGGAGAGACTCTTAATTACTGTGCCATTACAGAACTCAAAAACAGCCCTGACTCCTTTTATAGACTCGCTTTTATGTTCCAAATTTGAATCTGAGCCACATTTAATATCAGGTTGTTTATTGTATTTCTATTTAAATATATATTTGTCTCTTAATGCATTTTCTTTTCTTCTATTTTCATCTCCTTCAGTGTATTATTTTTGCTTTGAAGCCTTCAGAAAAGCATTTTGCAAACTCTGCTTTTAGATAAGAGCCACACAACAAAGACATTTAATTAAAATATTTGTTTAAGGACATGAAAAAGGTACAATACATAAACTTGGCCAGCAAGGTCTTCAAAAGCATTTGTATTACCCTGTGCATTGTGTGGGTTTATTATTTCCATTTTAAGCTGCTGTATCAACCTGCAGGCAAGCACTTTTATAATACAAGAAAAACTGTAAAAATCTGAAAGAACAGAGATCGCTATGATTCACAAATGTCAGTGAGGAAATTCAAACATACAGCATCACTGAATCTTGTCCAGTGCAATCAAATGGCCATTATGCTGCACTGAGGATTAAGTCCTTCCTGGGTGTCACTGGGGATGTGGCCGACCCCCGAATGACACAATAACTTGGTTGTTAGATTAGATCCAACAGCTGACAAGCAGCTAAATCCTCTCCTCCCGTGCTTCTCTGTAACACTGCAATGATGTGTAATGACAAGGCTTCACAGTGTTTCCACTGGCCTTGTCTGGTCTTAAGGGAGACTCAAGAGTGGTTGCTTTTTCTAATAGTATCACATATAAACCTGCACGCTGTATCTCTCCTCAGCCATAAAATCTGCCTCCTGAATCTCGCCGTGATTTAAACCGCACCTGACAGCCCACTGAATCTGCTTGAGTGTGTAGTTTTTACACAGACTAGTGATTTATGTGTAAAGATGATGTTAAGGGGAGTAAGGATCCTCTGAGCAATGTGCACAAGGTGAGACATAAAACACAGGGACAGAGAGAGACAGGATTAATGTGCATGCACCATCATCAGTCGCTGGGTCATTGTAAATGTGTCTAGGGTCAAGTTCAGTGGTTTGGGTTCAGGGAAGTTACACATTTAGGTTGTCTTACTCTGATTCTCCTCATTGCAGCGACTATCTCCATCCGACTGCCGGGGCGACCCACCTCCAAACTGCCAATGTACTGCAAAACATAAGAAAGAGGTTTAAAGATTGGCAGTTCGAGGGAATGAATGCCACTGACTGCTTGGGGAGTGCTGGACTGGCAGATTGTTTATTTCCATTCTCTGTCATTCTGACAGCTTTTTCACTCATTTTCAGAAATATTCCCCTGCATGAGGACATCATTATACAGTAGAGCTGCAACAATTCGTGGATTAATCAATCAATCCATTTTCTATAACATATTATCAGATATTTGAGGGTTCCAGCTTATCAAATTTCAGAATTTGATGCTTTTCCTTACACTATAGTAAACTTTAGGTTTTAGACTATTGTCACAGTGTTAATTTAGAAAAGAATTTGCAGATGAATCAATAATTAAAATAATCCTTAGCTGCAGCCCTTTTACAGTCTTGCTGGGTGCCAGAAGGCAGATATGGGAAATACATTATGTCAGCATTCATCAAGTTATCAGTAAGGCAACACTTCTCCGTGCGAGTAAGGTCAAAGATGATTAAATCACAAACATTTTAAAGTCATACAAAGTAGCCAGAAATTCAAGTATTACAGGGTCAATAAACACCATTTACATCACGTGAACGCATGGATGGAAACGTAGTGGTTGTTAGCCCTCATTTCAGTGTTTGACACATAATCATCCCCAAGCCTCAAATCGTTCCTGCCACCCAGAAACTATCTGTTGCAGAGGGTCCCTACCTTTGCCTCGAAGCAGACCCCATGTTTGAACACCTCCTCGTTGTGCATGGGGATCCTCAAATCGTGCGCGTCATCCACTAAATTGTACTTGGTTACCCCTGGCATCGCTTTAATGATCGCCGACTCGCGCCCGTCTCTTGTTTTACGACAGCGCTAGAGTACCTGCAGATATGCGCATCTCCTCCGGCGCTGCTCCCTCCGCACTCTCACCGGAGAGACGCGTCACTCCGGAGGTCATCCGGGTTGAGGCGCTCCGGTCGCTACGGATTGGTTGTTTGGTGGAATCAATTAACGCGCTGATCGGTGATCGGTGTGTGCACTTGCTGACCCTCTCGCTCCGGGCTGAGGCACGACGGAGAAGCAGTACGCACCGCGGCCACCGCCGCCGCCGGGGTCCCAGTGACGCACGGATCTTAACACATGATTGTTTTTTCCTCGAAGCACCGCGGCATCAATGTAGGCAGTAATTTATCAGAGTGGGCGATCAATATTCAGAAGCAGTGGGCGCTTGTTAGCTATTAAACTGGGTGTAAAATCTAACAGATGAAGACTGACTCTGCTGTAGAGACAATCAGCAGCTACAGCTGGTGTTTGCTTGTATGACATCTAGTGGCATCGCAGGGAATAAACAAATCCTCAAATCACTGTCTCCCAGCAGATTCCAGGAGCCCCCTGGGGTCCTTGAAGGGCTCTTGGTTCCCTCCTGCAAAATGAGGATGAATGAAGCCATTCATTTCAGAGAAACTCGCGCACCTAGCAGAAGTAAACACCACAAATTATTGTTTATTAGAACACAATGAATGAAAGAAGCACCAATGGTCTTGCAACCAGATGACACAGTAACACTGTTTCCATCATGCAAAGGCACAATCTGAGCTGTTAGTGGATTGTTCTCAAAGTGCTGACAAACTGACAGTTTTGACCTTTATGGTTGCTGCTGCATGCAGGCTGCCTCTGTAGATCTATTGTAAGGGCTGAAATGATCAAGAAACAGAGAGGGAACAATGTAGCAACTACTTTCAGCTCAAATGATATGAAAACAGCCCTAAGGTCATTTTAGAATAGATTAAGGTAACAGATGATTTGCTGAATGGGCGTAGATTTGGGAGAAATATGAATTTTAACCCCCTGATTTTTATACCTCTGATGCCTTTTTACTTGCTCTGCAGTTTTAAAAGCATATAGAGGTTTAGTGAAATACTTCACTGTAATGTGCCTATTTTTTTTTTTGGTTTTTTTTTTACAAGAAAATGCAACGCTTTCAATTTTGGATTTCTTTTGCATGCCTTTAAACACATTTGCCCATGCAGATTTTAATTCAAACCGACAATAACTTTTTGGTCATATGGGGACAGTGGAAACCAGCTCTAAACACAACACTGACATATTATCACATGTTGTTTTATAATAAAAATATCACCTGAAAATGTGAAAAGTAATTAAATATGAGAATATTTATCGCTTATAGTGATGAACCTACAGATAATTATCACCTGAATCTGCACCTCCCATTGGCTTTAAGAGCTTTAAATAGAGTTTCAGCTCATTGTTTAACTGTTTGGCCACAACTTTGAACCATATTGTTTCACGCCCACAACTCGTATAGTGTTGCTTTTCAAAAAGTTTTGATAAATCCACTATACTCTATCTGCTCAGCACCAAAATGCAGACAGACACAGTTAGCAACTAGCCAGTGAATGTAGTGTCGCATTTAGCTGATAAAGAGCCAGACATTTCCCTCAGCAGTTGGTAAAAATAAATGGATAAATAAATGAATAAAAGATTAACTGCAGAGTTGGGCGAGAATTCTCTGTGCATTTGTCATCATCAGCCTTTCACATACACAAATTTGTATTATAGCAGCTTTAAACTAAACTCTAAAAAGTCTTTTAGGAAAGTAGGTGATTGCCATGCATTATCTTTTGTGGCCTACTGGCCTGGAGTATTTCACCCACAGACTATTAAAAGTGAAACCTTCACCCTTTCGCTGTCACCTCACAATATGTTTTCTGATCAAACTTCAGTCATCTCTCCAGCAGGTGGCAACAGAGCTCTATGCATTTTGCAGGATGTAAAGCTTGTAATAGTAAAAGAAAAAGGAGAAGAGACAACGTCAAAAATCCACTTAAGTCACTGTGCTTCTTTTACCTCCATGTCCATCTTTATCTTTTTGTGCAGCTTGTCTTTTGTTAAGCTGTGTGAGGAACCATTTGGTGTCGTACTCTCTGCCTCAGTGTAAGGCTCACAGAGACTCCATTAAGGTCCAAATGACAGAGTGCTCTGTCACTACAGAAAATCACCCCCCTCACCTTTCATTTTTTGGAGTACAAGTGTCTGTTTTTTTGGGGACAGCACATACTCTGAGATCATACTTCAACAGAACAGAAATACTGTTCTTCAGGAGGTTCTCTGCTGTAAATTGCCTCATTTCAGGTAATTGCTGTCTTGCTTTGAGCATCCAGTTACTGCAGCATGAAGGACTTCTTTCGGCACGTGCCATCTTGCCAGACCGCTGCGAAGGCTGGTGACATGGCTATCACGTGTGACACTTTATTGGGTTAATTTGTAATGCTGCACTCCCACAACCAGAAGATTCTTGAGTCCAAATGACTTTTATTGTTAAGACGAGCAACTGATGCATCCATGTCAGAAAGAGCAATTATTTTAACACTAAGCATCAGGTAAATCTCTCACACTGCTTTTTAATTGGTTGTACGGGTCAAATGTGGCTGTTGTGTGTATCTTCATGTCTCTCTCTTATCACTTCCCACTCGCCACGTGAGGAAAGAGCTGTGTGTTTTTTATCTTTATGTGTTTGTAGTTAGACACACACAATGGGTTTGCACTCATGCTGTAACACACTATTCTTCTAGCCTTTACTCCATGTTTGATTAGTTTTTGAAATGAACAAATCACAGTTTTGGTTGACACGTTTTTTGTTTCAGTTTTTCCTAACTTGCAAAAACAGATAAAAAACATTCTTAAAATGAGTAAACCAACATCCATATTCCCTTGAGTGCACAATAAAAAACATTAACAAGGAAACAAAATTAAAAAGATAATCTATTCAAGTAAAAAAAACAAAAAAACATGACAGATATAGCTGTCTACAGTTACAGTAGCTCACTGTGAGGCTGTACCTTAGCAACTAATGAGCACTAAATACATAAATTAAAGTACTGGAATTTGGACCTGATGATGGCATTAAACAAAAAGTCAGGGTATCATCAAAGTTATTACAATTCATCCCTTTGGGAAAACGAATGTCTGTACCAAATTTAATGACAAATCATACAATAGTTAAGACATTTCATTTAGAACCACAAACACTCAAGGTGGCGTTAGAGAAAAGGTTGGGATATCACCAAAGTCATTAGGATCAGTCTGGGGAACATGAACATATACCAAATTTAATTTTAAATCCATCCAGTAGTTATATTTTTCAGTCTGGACCAGAGTGGTGGGCTAAACTAACAACTGACCAAAATTACTGATCATAGAAAAATAACAACAAAGTCAACCGAATTAAAAATAAATTAAAAGCCCCTGCTTTAGACCGGCTCCTGAATCACTGTCACTCTGCTGATCGTCACTGACTTTTTTATCTCTTTGCACCGTATCACAAAACTGGGCCTGAGTTCTGTTTGTACGAGCTGACACACTGCTGGCAAATACTAATCAGGTGTTGTGTTGATATCCACAAACTGGCACGCGACTGAGCGCAGACTGATATGAGATCAGCTGCTTTTAGGCATTCATTGCTCTTCATAGGTCAATAAACACACAGCCTGCTGTGTTTGTCAGAGCGGCCGAGTACAAAGCTGACCTTCCCACAAACCCAATTACTTTGTCACTGTGGAAGATATTGCCCCACACACACTTCCCATTATTTCTCACTTAGTCATGTGGTTGTGGTGGACCTACGTCACAGTATTTCCTGTGTCTTTTTTGTGATCCACATAGATTACGGACTGGAAGGATTGTTATGTGTATCATTTAACCTCATAAGTGCCAGTTCAGTTTATAAAGATGGGGTGCTATTTGAATTAACGAACTGCTGGTGGAGTCAGGGTTCATATAAAGTTCTTATTCATCTTTACAAACGTCTCCTCTGGCTCACTGTACTACCCAGAATTCTTCAGGGAGAATTTTGACCTTAAAAACTTCCTAATTAGTATGACGCTACCTATGTCTGCTGGATTGGGGGAGAGAGAAGGCAACAGAGATATTGCTGAATTGGGACGAAAAGAGCTTAAGTCATGAAAATGTGGGACACATAAAGTTCCAACATGGGAATTGAGAACCGGTTCCAGATTGTCCGATCCATTGGAATCGTATGCCACAGAGCTTATCAATTCTTTTTATCAATGCCATCAAATTTTTCTGACAATGATGTTAAACTCATGTGTCTACGCTGCTGGAAACTTGAAGGATTCATAGCAGAAAGGAAGAAACGAGAGTGGTAATGGTATTGGAATTCCCTAATTTCCACCTGTTTCTTGTCTTATGTTGAGCTAAGCTAACTGGCTGCTGGCCATAACCTCATATTTACTGTACAGACGTGAAAGTGGTATCAATCTTCTCCACTAACCCGTAGCAACAAACAGAATAAGCACATTTCACAAAACGTCCCTTTAAAGAGCAAGTTAGCCTCAGTTTGACTGTTTTATTTACTTTGTGGCTGTTCTCAACTCTTTAGAACTTTAAGTTCTCTCTTAAATAATCTGCTTAGGAGGTGAACTTGGTGATCTTGCATCCTACTAATGTAAAATAAATAAATAAATAGTAAACAAAACAGACAAATACATGGTGGGAACTGCTTTTTTGCATAAAACTGTCAACATTCACTCACCTTATTGCATGCATGTTGAAATGTTGCTGTAAATTCCCTGTCAGAATAATGTGGGAAGGGTCCAAATGTTTGTAGTCTTATGTCTTAAAAAATGTGTTGTTAGTAGCGAAGCAGACAATTGGCTCATTTACCCGGGAAGGTGGAGCTGTAATGAGGTCCTGAGGAAGTTTCCTGGATCGCCAGCAGCAGAAAATTCTCAAAAAATTTAGAAATAAGGAACATGTGGTAGGGTCACAGTAAACTAAGCAGAGCAAGTCTCCTGTGGGACATGCCCTCATAAAGAGACACAGACTGTGTTTTTTTTTTTTTTTACTAAAACTGCTTTTCTTTAAAGAAGCAGTATTTCTATCCACATATCCCAGCCTTGAGTGGATGAGAGGGAATCACCCTAGACAGGCCTAAACATACAGACAACCACATCACATACTCCTACATTCATACCTTGTGGTAATTTAGTCTCCAGACTGATTTCCCTGTCTTTAAACTGTAGGAGGAAACCAGAAAGCCAGACAAGTCAAACTACCTCTCCTCAGGCTCAATGTCATTTTTCTTGTAAATTTAAACTAATGACAAACACATGTATAGCTTTACCTCACTGAGGTGAGTCATCATTATTTGCTATGTATGGCTTGACTTGCTGTCTTCATATGACACTATGTAATGAAATAATGCAGACCAAATGTTGACATTAGACCAGAGAGTTATATTCTCATATCTCACACCACTAATTTAATATCAGCTATAATCAGGTTGTTCAGTGTTTATGAGGCTATTTTCAACAAGTGGACACAAAGGAGTTTATTTGTAGTACAAGCCTATTTTTCCATCTTGCAATTCAAATGAAATGAACATGAGTTTAAGCTCTTGTGGTGTAATTGAGTATTTTAGAGTGAGCTATGGATGGGACCACTCAGCTGTGCTAGGTTTGTTCCCTTGGTAACCTGGTAACCATGGCTGTGGCTCTTTGTTTTTACAGCACTCTCCTAAGTTCAAGCACCGTTGGCGACGCTTATTAATCACCACTCACTCAGCAAATATGTTTTTAAATGAGTATGCTGACTCATTTCTACCAGTGAAGTAGCTGCCCAGTGGAGCCAGATCCACCGTTTAACAGAGCTCCACCTCTTCTGTGCCACATTATGTTTCCACCTTACTGACATTTAAAGCAGCCCATTTAAACCGATCCTCGCTTTAGAAACACTCATGTGAAAAACGGCTGGGTTCAGCCTCTCCCATGCCAGCTCATACAGGTGTGTTTACAGTGTAGACTGTAAAACTTTATGATCCTGAATGTTTAGGTGCACTGAAATAAAACTTAATCTTCTTGTTTTTCCTTTTGTGTAAACACATTATGTTCATTTCTGGCTAGCCAGGGTGGAATAACTATTGTAAACCTGAAAATGGAGATTATACATATGTCTTCAAACAAATAAAAAAGACATTGCAGTAAAATGAGACAGAGCAGAGTCTTGTTTAGCTTCTAGGTTTTTATTTATTTAGATATGTCGTTTGTATATTGAGTTGGATGGTGCTTTTAGGTAACATATCCCATCTGTATCGATATGTTTTTGTATTTTTTGGGGGTCATTTTTAATTTTATTTTGATAATGGACAGTGAAGCGAAGTAATGAAAAAGAAAAAGAGAAAGGTGGAATGATATTCAGGCAATAAAGGACCCTTTGCTGGACAAAAATGCAACCTTACAGACTCATAGAATTTACATAGAAACATTTACGTGCAGGAAGCTCACCTGGTGCTGGAGTCCCATGTACCAAGACTTACTGCAGCGGCCACAAATCTGAATCTGACCTGTGGCCTTTGGCGGCATGTCATCCCCTCATCTCTCCCCCTTTTCCTGTCCATCTAAAAAAAAAAATAGAAAAAAAAACATTACTGTAATGAGGCTGTCCAATAAGATAGAGATCTTTTCACTGTTACTTTAAGTGGCTGTCAAAAGCCTCCAGGAACTTCTCCATTTTAATATTTGGTTTGGCAGCTGGTTCCTTGTTTGTTTGCCAGAGGAAAATCCAGCAGTTAAAAATAGGCTAGTAAAGTTGAACTCCAATCATTTAGATTTCCAGGATGTTAATTTACCTTTAAATGCTAATTTATTTACTGTAAGTTAGCTGTGGAAAACACTGAAGCCAAGCAGTCAGTGTCGTCAAAGTTTGTTTATTGACGGAGTACAGAAGAGGACGTATTATACAGCACTTGAAATCAGTTTTGTCATTCAGGCCTTCCTATTACGCTCCAGCTCATTTTATTTTATCTCTGTTTAAATGTTGATAATGTCTTGGACAACAGTTTCTATTTCTGGTGTTTGGACTGTCACAAACCGGGCCATACGGCCGTGACAAAAAAGGAGGGAGACGCACACAACAAAGCCAATTAACAAATTATTTATTAAGGAAAGAATACTTAAACTAAATCTAACAGTATTATGTGAAATAAGCTTGGCTCAGTGGTGTAAGTGAGTGCATGAGTGAAAGTGTATGACTGCTATGTTGTTATGAAGATGCACGCAACCAAATAAAACCATCCAACCCATAAAACCATAAACCCAAAAACCAGGATGTTGTCTCAGGGAGGGAGAGGAGAGACATAACGCTCCAGAAAGGTTTTTAACAAGGGGCATGGGCGACACAGGCATCAGGTGTGTCCAGTATTAGCTGGACGACCTCTGCCACGCCCACTTAACAGTACCTGCCCAGAAGACAAGCCACACAGACAGAACAGGAAGACCAACCCGGTGGAGTCGTCGTCGTAGATGTAACGTCATTTGAAATTTACAGGTTCCAGTGTGTAGACATTTAGGTTCTTTTGGGGCAGAACAATGGAATTAAGTATTCATGTAGGTATGGTTTTTATTAGGTCGTATAATCACCTGAATATAGAAATTGTTTTTGTTTCCTTAGAATGAGCTGTTTTATCTACTGAGTCCGATTGTTGAACCGCCATGTTTCTACAGTAGCGCAGAACAGACAAACCAAACACTGGCTCTAGATAGGGCCTTTCGTGTTTTTCATGTTTTGCAGTCACCGTAGTTTCTACTACACAATTCACAGCTCGCTGTGTGTGTGGGATGGACATCTAATATTTGGATGGTGGTTGTTTTAAATAAGCAGCTAAAGCAAGGGGAAATGTCTCGTTTAGTGTTTCACTGGCATTCAATTCAATGATTCAGCTTTAATTGACCTATTTCAAAGTTCTTTTGTCCACCCATCTGCATAGAGATACACTCATCACACACAAATGCAACAGACTCATTTCCTCCCTGCATCTGATTAAAATACAGCCAGATGTTGTTACTTTAATCTTTAAGAGTTTTTACTTATTCTATATCTTATCGTATCTTTTATGTTGATCCTAGTTGTTGTTGCCACAGTGATCATATTTTACTCTAGGTATCAGAAAAATAATTTATCTCAATCTCAAACTTTTCTCTCTCTCTATGTTTCTCTGTGCTTATTTGTATTGTTGTCATTCATCTCAAACGTTTAAAAAAACTACACCCTCATGATAACACAACATCAAGTTACATAAAAACGGTCTAAACAAATCCACCCACAAGCAACCGCACCTGATCAGGTCCCTACATGCTTCTTTCTTTTGCCAAAGTATATTCTGACATTTGATAGTTGGATTAGAGATGAATCATGAACATCCGCCCAAACAGAATGCAGGGGCACAAAATGAAAATAATACTTTTACATATACAAATCAGCTAGTACAGCAAAGAGTACGTGACAAGTTAAAGTCAAGTCCATCTGTTTCAGTTTGCTGAACCAAAAAACAAATCAGTGTTTCTTCAATTAATCTCAATTACTGTATGTCCACGTTGAAAAGAGGCCTCATTACACATCACTTCTGGGTGAGACTGACAGAGACAAAGTGGGATGGAGTGGAGAGATAGCCTCTGCCGTTTTCCACAAGTGTGAGAGAGGTGTTAATGACTTTGCCCTCGCCTCTTTCAGGGCTGAGTGTTTGAACAGGAGTTGGCTGTTGCAGTGGGAGGGCGTAGGAGGGGGGATGGCGGCGAGGAGGTGGTGATGATGGACGGCAAGAGAATGGAGGGGAGGCTGCTGTGACTCACAGGCGGAGTGGCTGTAATACGGTAGTAAACAAACCTGCCTGTGGAGGGGCTCAGTAGGCGGCTGCTGTATCCATGACGACCGTCCATCACACTCAGATGTTTCCTGGCAAAATTATCTTATTTTTTGGACACACACACACTAGGATTTCTTGCTGTGAGTTAGATGAGACGATCAATATCACCCTCATGTCTGTGCGATAAATGTGTAGATACAATCAGCATTTGGTTAGCTTAGCTTATCCCAAGGGTTCTGTAACCTGATTTTATATTGAATAATATGAATATGAATGTTTTTTTGCATCTTCCCTCAAATTTGCTGAGCCCCTACTGGCGGCCCCCACTTTGAAAAGCACTGGCTTAGACTGGAAACAAGGGGAAACAGCAAGCCTGGCTCTATCCAAAGTTAGCAAAATCTGGCACCTCTAAATATAGTTACCTTTTGACAAAGCTAGGTTAGCTGTTTCCCCGTTTCCTGTCTTTGTGCTAAGCTAACTCTGTTGTCAGTAGCATAATTTTTAGCTTACAGACATGGAAGTGGTAACAATCTTCACCTAGGTCTTCTTGAATAGGTGTTAGTTTGAGTGTACTATTGTGTGTCTGCTGTTATGTGTGAGTATCTAAATTTAAGATCTACTCTAATCCTGTAGAAGTGAATGACCATCTAAAATGAGCTCACATTTTCTCTCTCTCTGCATGGGTCGAAAATAGATCATTGTTATTAATAAAAGCACAAGAACTGACACACTCATCTCATGTCTTCCATTCCCTGTAACTCAGAGAAAAGGAGTCATCCAGTCACCTACTTGTGAAGTGGAACCACTGAGGCCACCGATTAGTTAGCACCTAAAAAAGCACACATGAGCAAAGTTTCTTCTTCCTTCCTCCTACATTTTTCCAGACCTCAGTAACCACATCCAGTGAAGAGAAGTTTCCACTGTAAAAAAAAACCAACATTTTGTTTCTGCAAATTGGTAATCTTTTATTCAATCTTTACATACAGTACTTCAGATAGAAAAACATATGAAATACAAACCAGTTTTCACCAACCAGTTGCACAACAAACATTCACAGAATAAGAATTAACTTTAAATAAATAAATAATAAATAAACACTAGTGCTACAGGAGTCTCCCCCAGTGGTAGATTTGTTGTGTGAAAGCAACTCATTTATATCTCTCTGCAATTTAGAATTGATGCCACTGTGGCTGCCGTTCATGCAACCATGTATGTACAGGACACGTGTCTCTTTCAGAGGCAGACAGCTCAGTCTGTGTCAGTCTCTTCTCACAGCTTCATGTGTCCTTTAGCTTCCAGCTCGGACCCCAATCGGTATACAACCTTCCGTCTCCAAAATAACTCCACAACCTGGCACCAAACTCCTTGGACTGAGGTATTTGTTCCACTTGAACCTTTCCAGTCTCTGCTGTGCGTCAGTAAGCTTATGTCCCTTTTGAGGAGTGATCACGTCTCATCTTTTTTTTTAAAGTTTGTTACGCTGTCTTGGCCTTTCTGCTGACCTCCAAGTATATGGAGGATTTAAGGAAGCGAGGGTAGCAGTCTTTCTCCATCAGGTTGTAGATTTTGGCTTGCGCCAGTTCGAAACAGGACTGTCTGGGATGCTCCATGTTCTCCTTTGTGATGGCTTTGGTCACATGATCAAGATTTACCTGTGGGGAAACAGAAGAGACAGAGAGTTGATTATCAGCACGCCACAGCGAGATAAGAGAAGCCAGCAGAGCATCTTAAATCGTCTCTGTAGGTGATTTGATATTTACCTCTCGTGGCGCATCAGAGCCGATGAACTCGTCGTAAATTTTCTTGGCTTTGGTGGCCAGTTTTGAAGGTTTAGTTGTCTGGTAGTCCTCACAAGCCAAGTAGAAGGCAATGTTTTCTTCACTGAACTCTGAGACCAGGAAGGCTCTGAACAGGCACAGTCCATCTGGAGACAGGAGAGAGAGGCGAGAGTTAACATCTGGTATTCGTCTTTAAAAACATCTGCAGTGATTGAAACATTTGCATCAAGTGTGATCTGGAGGTTTAAACTTACTTTGACTGGACAACAGTTTGTCAAACGACTCCTTCCATTTCAAAGGCTCGTCGACATTTAACCTGTAGAATAACAGAAAAAACAACATTAGGAAAAGTTCTAAGAACAACCAGTGGTCCACTTTAATTTGACTGGCAGGCTATAAAATGGTGAATTTTGAATTTGAATGTATGCCTTACCTCAGTTTGTCATTTTTCTTTGACTGGCCAGTGATGCTGTGATCTGACTTCTGTAGTAAACTTCCAAACAAAGCTTTCAGCTCCTTTGCCCTGCGAAGATAAAGAAAGAGAACATTTTACAAAGAGAACTGAAAGGTAATTAAGTCCAGTTGTCGTCTTCAAGAAGTAAAGGAATAATTACTGTTTCTCCAAAAACAGAAAAATATCAGAAAACACTCATGGATCTCACCTCTCCAGGCAGGTAATAGGCAGCGATTCAAGTCCTCTACACATGATGAGATGGTTTCCTGCTTACTGGTGGATATTTCCAAAGGTTTTAACAGTTGTTTCTAAAGTATGCAGCGTCTCACAGAGCTGTCTTTCTTGCTGTAAGTGAGTCGCAGCTGGTCTGTGGTCTGCCGCCTGTGTGGGAGAGTGACTTTTTATAGGGTAGTCCACTCTGTGACATCACGCCTCTCAGCCAATGAAATAAGACGTGTGGGAGGATGAGGAGACTCCTCAACACTGATTTTCCTCTTCACTACTTCCTCACTGCTGAACAACATGTGTGGTAGTTACAGTGACTAAATTACTTCACAACTCTTGTGTTTGCTGTCAGGGTGTGTGAATGTGTGTGTGTGTGTGTGTGTTGGTGAGTGTTTCTCTGTGTGTCTTATATTTCAATACTTGTAAGGGGAACCAGACGTTCTTACAAGGACAGAAAATCCCCTGAAGTGAGAATGTTTTGACAGTCCTTTCCTTTAATAGAAGTTACGTTTAGTCTCAGGACTCAGGTCAACAAGTCCTTATATCTAAAAGACTAAACGTGACGTGATTTCCAAAATGAATCAAGTAAAAGGAGCGTTAACACAATGTAAAAATACTCTGTTACTGGCAGATATTATTGTCACTGTCAATCTTGTATGTCTAAAACATCACCTTCGCATGAGTTTGGAAGTTTGTTTTAAAGTCTGCTGTTCTGGGCCACTGTAGAAACATGGCAGTCTAACAACTCTGTAGAAGGTAGCAAAAACACTCTTATATTCAGGTGATTTATACACTAATGAAAACTACTATGAAGATATTTATTCCATTTCTGCCAATAAATCCTCCTAAATGTTACACACTAGACCTTTAAGTACCATTTTAATGTTGTAGTTGGTAAAAGTGGAGCAAATTTAAAGTAAAGTACAAATTCCCTTAAATCCCTCGAAGTTGTACCTTAAATTATATGAGGTCATTAAACTTAACAAACCAATAGGAATCATATATTGTAGGTGAACCTGTCCCTCACAAATAGGTCCAACAAATAGAAAGGTCTGTACCTGAGCAGCATTTTCCAATTTTAGGCAATTAAAGCGACATGGGGAAATATTGTTTTCGTGGTTGAGACAAATAAGCTCTGAGTGGTGTTAGGAAACAGAAAACAAACGCACATTAGAATCTGAAACAAGGATTTGCCTTGGTGTTATGGTGAAAATTGCAAATATAGAAATATATTAATATTAATATAGAAAGTAAAAAGAGCAAAGTACTGAGAAAGACAAGAATCATGTATGTAAAATAGAAATTTGCAATAAAGACATGTAAAAAAATATTGATTTTATTGTGAAAAGAGCTGTATAGTGTTTAAAATGAGGAGGATTTAATGTACACAGAAATAACAATCCAAAGATTTAAGTTAATATAACAGAAGGTATCGAATTAGATTCGGATGTTTAATAAAGACTTTACATTAATGCAACACAGGGCAGGACGAGAGCCATGGGGGTCCGGGGCATTGTTGATGAGCGGCTGCAGTCTGGCATTGTGGCTTTGGTCTTGATGGACTGCAGCCTCCTGCCAGAGGGATTGTTTGTGTCCAGGGTGAAAGAGGTCAGACATTATCTTTCCTGCTTGCCTCAGGCTCTTGAAAGCGTACAGGTCCTGCAAGGAAGGCAGATTGCAACCAGCCCCCCTCTCATCAGAGCGAATGATAAGCTGCAGTCCGCTCTTGTCCTTGGCAGTGGCAGCAGTGTACCATGCTTAATTTGCTTCCATAGGTTATGCTTTCAAAATACTTCAAAAATACAATAATAACATACAACACCTTTGTTTAAAGGCCTGGAAAACCTATTTCCTCAATCAGCTTTCAAGTGTTAAAATCTTAAAAAATAATAACTGCATAAAACAAACAGTGACATTAAAAATGAAAATAAACCACAGTAGGAAACTATAGTAATACAAAATCCCCCATACTATTCATCAGAAACAGCTCACACAATATAATAATAACTTTTATTGCCAAGCAATTATTCTGTGGCCCAAAAGTCCCATATCAGCCTCTTTATTTACTTCATTATCTTCAGTATTTTTCTCAAGAGAGAAAGGAAGAATTGTTTATGGTTAATTTGATGAAGGTCCTCACAGGTACAGTAACTAAGAAGTGTGTTTATATTGCATGTGTCATGAGGAAGAGTTTACACAATCTCTGTCTGGATTTTTATTCTTGTCCATTTTTTTCTGTCTAGGCATGATCAGGATAACACAGTTGCGTCTATATATAGCTTAAGGGCTGAGAAAACTATTGTTAATTGAATTCAAAAAATCTATATTTAGACTGGACAGGGAGCCAGCTAACAGTAAACCTCACTAATGGGTTATTTCTTAGTGAGTTCACAGGAAAATGCTCAGGAAAGGGAAAATCAGGCAGCCGGATGAAAAGGTAGAAAGCTCATTGGAAGTGTCTGAGTTAGTTTCCTCTGTCGGAAACCCCGAACAATGCTTTCCTTCTAACTGGCTGCTTTGTCCGACACGCTCTGAGTGTCAACGTAGAGTCACTTCAGCCTGAGATAATGAGCTGCTTCCCAGCGTTTTAATAGGGAGGAAGGAGAATGTTCAAAAATGGAGTTGAAGCCAGGCAGTAATCCATCTTTTTTGTATTGTAGGGAAGTGGCATTAATTTAGCTTTAACTGGAAAGGTAAAGGAGGATTTAAAAAAAGTCAGTGGCCTATTTGGAATTATGTAGAGTAAGAATGACTTTTGTTTTATTTATGGAATATGTTGTATTACTGTAAGGTAGTTAAGTCTACAGTGTAACTTTATATTACAGTAAATCACACTCCTACAAGGTAAACTAATGATTGTATCAACTGTACTTTTGCAGCACAATAGCTGAACCTCTGTGGAATTATAAATTAATTTGGGTGCATTTGCCTGCAGCCAAAGAGATTGTTCCTTTGTATCTCTTTACGTGTTTCTAGCTTTGCTTTAAGTTAAAGCTGCAGACTTACTGAAGGATCTGCTCACATTATGCAGTCCTGTTCAAATGTATTAAGAAAATACTTATCTGGCCAAAACTGGACATGTAGTGGAGTGTCTGAGCTTTGGCAATGAAAAATTGAATTTAAAGCAGTGGAACAGAGGGGGTTATGTGTTTTTTGTGTTTTTCTGTTGGTTCACAGCCTATAAACATTATTTTGTGTCTCATATATGTCTCATATAAATAACAAGAAGGTAACCAACTAAGCATACAACTTCATTTTATTTTTCACATACCCCAAATAAAGCTTAAGATCTAAAATAGCAGAAAATTGATGTGCAAGACCTTCATCCACTTTGCTTTGTCAAATGCATAATATCATACAGTACCATAAGTAGGGTAAAGTTCTGAGCCTGAAAAGCAGAGAGTCTATTTTGATTCTTAGGTCAGTGTTTTTCAGGACATTGTGGCTCAAACATGTTCCAGTCCTGGGCGAGTGCAGTCGTCCTTATTGGAGATTGGCTGCTTCACATATTGTAAACATGTTTTCATTGGCAGTTGCTCATCATGAGTTTTATTATAAAGGACAAAAAATATGATCCCGGCTTTCTTGCAACCAAAACATAATATTTCTCAATCATATCATAGTCATGCTCTTCCCATTTATGGATGCAGTGTTTGATCAGATATTGAGAGATTTCACACTTTTAAACATGTATTTTTCACAATTCAATGTAAGGAAAGCTGCATTTAATTTACTATACAACTGGAGCTAAATTAGTCCATAATTGTTGCTTTAATGTTCACATCTCATTCAACGGCTGCCGACACACTTTCCTTTTAAAAGCTTACCTACTAACCTTGAAGATTACAGATAGTATTAGCTTTTGAGTTGCTGCTTTCATATACAGACACAATTGCTGCCTGTGAGTAATTTTGACAAATGACAAATAAAGATATAATTGATGTTATATCACCAGAAATCGTGTATTATCTAACCACGGAATAGGATCCTCATGTGTACTCCCACCATAATGTGTCCATTGACACAGATAAACAACAACTTTTTATTGTGTGAAATTTGTGTCATTATTGATTCAGTTAGAATCTGGGTCACACAGACATTCAGATGTTACATGAAAAACTTCTTGGGCTCAAAAAAGATGGCTCATAGAAGAAATCAGCTCACAGTCGACATTGTGATAACGCTGTTCAGATTATGAACATTTAGGTCAGAAAATGTCCAAAAACTGGGTCATTTGAACAGCATGAACATGACCCTGTCTTGGCCCTCACCACTCATGTCTTACAGTCAGAAATGAACTAGAAAAGTGTATAATGAAATATAATTCAATACACTTTTCAAAGCTGTCTGACAACAGAATAATGCAAAAACAAAAGAAGAAAAAAAACAAAACATTACATGCTGTAGAAGCAGACTGAAATAACAGGTTACATTGGTTATTTGATGCTTTCATATTGTATTCACCCATTTTTAAACATACCAAATGGGTCATAACTCAGGAGCTCTTAAAGTTATGGAGAAGAGGATACTACAGAAACTGTTAAAGCAGCTATAATCAGTATTATTGTATTAACAATTGTTTACATTGACTATTACTAGTGAAGTGAAAAGCTTTAAAAGCTATTGAATTTAGCAGTTAAAGTGACAGATATCTACTTCGGGAGCTGGTGGAGGCCAAAAACTGAGCTAAAAGGAGAGTGAATATTAGACGTACATTCACCAGGTGGACACAAATATGACTCTAAATCAATGCCAATGTTGCTATATATCTGTTGTATGTGTAGATAGGCAATATAGGCAGGCAGGTTTAAACATCGCAGAAAATGTTTCACACCTCATCCATAAACTACTAATAAAACACATTTATTAATCACATAATTATATAACAGTTATTTGTTGTTCTGCTATGGCAACAACAGTATCTGCATATAAACACACGCTAAAATATATGAACTACTGTTGTTATTAAAACCAGAAAAATCTATACATATACAGCCTCAGTAGGACGCCCTTCCATCTTTAATACATTCATTGTTACACCTGTATAAATATACAATATGACAATATTTCAGCCCGACCTGTTGCGACACAGAAGTTGAATACTCACACTTTAGAAACCTGAAGGTACAGTCCTATACA